AGAGACAGCAGGCATGAGTGCCAAACTTAAGTCTGTAGAAATAAGGGAAAGATTTCTGTGGACCACACATGGAGGAGACTGTGAAGATAAAAGCAGCAGGATCTGTGAGTCACCGTAGGACATTAACAGACAAATACTATTTCCCCGCTTTAATTGCCAAAAAGACAATATATAAATAGAACAAAATAAATAGATTTGTTTTTTAATTCTCCACAGGTGACGATGGAAACGCCATCTATGTCATTTCTAAAAGTGTACGTCTTATTACAAAATCCTTCCTCACATATGTCGCCTACAAACAAATGCAGCCTACGAGCGTTCAACTGTCAGCGTGAGCAATCGTTAAGAGATAATTTGATTGTTTTGGTTTCAACCTCGGCGGTGTTTGATGTGTCTGGCAGGCACGCAATTGAACAGACAATTATTTTCTTGATTAGCTTAGTTTTAGCAACTTACCATGCCTGTGATATTCCTCTGAAACTCCCAGACCAGACGCTCCACTCCATCTGACTTGGCAACTACATGACGGGAGCTGAGCTTCCACACGTCCACACCAGATACTGTACCATGACGGGTCACCTATCTGAGCCCCTCGCCTCGCTGGCAAATCCACCAGACGACTAAATGTGTAGATAATCTCCAGGGCAGCTCCACATACAGCCTGCTGTGGGCCGCAGCTTCATGACATTAGCAGGGTTTTGTTTGTGAAGACGATGTTTTTGGTTTCAGCTCATATTTCACTCATTTATCTCTTCATTTAAAAAACAGGACTTCTGTGAAACCTGAATTCCTGGATTTGATCTGAGCGGCTGTAGATCGTCACTCAGATCAAATAAAAGTGTCACACCAACGTACCACTTTATCTGCGTGACAATCTACAGTGTGTTCTTGAACTGCAGCGTGATCAGTGGACTGTGGAACACTTCAACAGCCAACCATAAAATCTGACTCAATCCTTATGTTTAAATATGCTGGGGTTTTTTTTTTAATTCCACTTCTTATTAGCATGCTGCTACTTAAAAAGATGTCAGAGCTTTAAATTCCACTTCTTATTAGCCTGCTGCTACTTAAAAAGATGTCAGAGCTTTTTAATTGTTTTTCATGTTGGACTTTATCAAATGCTGGGATTTTTATGCAAATATTCCTGTTGACAGTGAAGTGGAACCAAAACCAGCAGCAAAAAAAAAAAGCTGTCATTTGTAAACATCTATACAGGTGTAGGCACTCGTATCACACAACTTCCAATCAAAACTTTTTCTTTCTCCTTTTCTTCCAGCCTGTATGACTGGACTGCAGCGCTGCGTTCTCTTTACACCGACCCAGTCCTAAATATCAGTCCTGTCTTGTTGGAAAAGGAGGCTTTTAAGTGTAGACGTGCTTCGCTCTCCTATAATCCAGCCGAGGCATTACTGCTTCCTCTGGCAGACTTCCACAGNNNNCTCTCCATCTCCTTCCCTCTCTCGCTCTCGGCTGCTATGGCAGAGCAGCAATAACTGCTGTTTGCTTAAAGCCTTGCCACCCTGGCTCTCCACTGTCACACAGAATTGAATATTTTCCCAAATAGCATTGCAGCTGTGCACAGATAAGGACAGGTCCTGTCCACAGCACAAAGAGGACGGCGTGTGTGTGTGTGTGTGTGTGTGAGTG